TGTATTATGCAGTAACCCGCTGCAGGTACACCCTGAGCTGTAGCTGCTCTAACATTATAGTTAAATAACCAGCAGAGTTTGGAATGAAAGAACATTGCTAGGGAAAGTTACGTATTTCAAGGTAATGCCAAAATAATTTCTCTAAAGAATTCCCACCATGACCCTTCAGGGCCGCTATACTGTGCCGACTCTGATGAACCTTTTAGGAACTGCCATCAGCCTGAGCTAGTTTTATTTTTAGTGCTAATTACTAATGTTAGCAGGTTAATACACTAATTTCATTTGAACCATAGTAAATGTTGACGCTCAGCGTGCTAACACTGTCATTGTGAACATGTTAGCATGCTGACATTAATACTTGGCTCACAGCACAGTTACAGCCTCACAGGACTGATGTCTGATTACCATTCACTGAGGTTAAGACTGTGATGGGAACCATGACTGACTGGAGAACGTAAAACACTGTGTACTGCAGCCAACGCTAATCAAAGTACACAGCAGTGTCAAAAAACACACAAAGCACATGTATACAGTTCTTCTGACATACAATCACACAGAGACACAGTAACTTATATACATATATCAGTGCAAATATAAAAGCAGAAGTGCACACACTGAACCATTTGTGCAGAGTACAGACTGTCACAGTCACACGGACACATGCATAGCATGCACAGGAAGTGTGCAGGCTGCAAAAGCAATGAAAAGCAATGAAGCTGTCATTTGCATGGGGAATGATGCAGAAGTGGAACCAAGGCTCCTTATTGTATTGCACTGCACTCAGACAAACTCTTTCTTTCTCTGTCTTACACACAGACACACACTGCTTTCCATGCAATTTGAATTAACAAATTAAGAGGTCAGTGGACTTTTGAGTACCTGGAGGAAATGGGAAACAAAATAACTGCTGTCATATCCCATAATGCTATTCAAATTCTAGTACTCTGTTATCTCCCGCACACACACAAGCACACACGCATTTAGAGGGAGGGGGGAGAGAGGATGCTCACCCAAAGGCCATTCATTTGGACACAGCTGCTCGTCAGTACACATCATCATCATCATCATCACCCTAGTGTGTGTTCTTGTACTTGCGAGGACCAAAACAGTATTTTTTGCTACAGAGTGAGGACATTTTTGGATACTGGGGACATTTTGGTTGGTCCTAACTTTCTGAAACACCTTTTTGAAGGTTAAGACTAGGTTTTAGGGGTCAGGTTAGAATTGGGTTTAGGTTAGGTGTTAGGAAAGGGGTAAGGGTTAGGCATTTAGTTCTGATGGCTAAGGTTAGGGTAAGGGGCTAGGGGATGCAATATATATCAAGGAGTGTCCTAACAAAGATAGAAGTACAAGTATGTGTGTGTGTGGAAACAGCTTGCATCTGTGGTACCAAGCCGTGGTCGCCGTTGCAACATGCACTTCATTGTCTTCACCTCCTGCCATTTGTCTACTTTTTTAAAATCTGAAAATACTACTGTGTGGGAGTGGAAGTGAATGTGACTGTGTTTCAGATAATTCCTGGTCTGTTTTAGCCAATCAGGAAGCAGAGTCCAATGTGACGCTCTCACTGGCTCACTGTCCACTACTGGCTTTTCATGTCTTTTAGTGTGTTTCTCGATGTACCAACTCTCTGGTTACTATAGCACCCACATCTATCTGTTTCTCCTTCCTCCTCTCTCTCTATGTCTGTGTCATTTTTTGTCATTCCACTTCATTCATTTCTATGTCAGCTGTTTTTCAGTGACATGGTTCATTATTCAGTTTTGAGATCTTGTTGCTGCTCAGCCATGTCTCTTTCTGTCCTTCTCATTTCCCATGGTTGCTTGGAATCTCTTGATTTATTCATTCATCTTACAAATTCATCTTAGTCTGTTTTTGTTGTGGCAGCTTTCTTCTGCTTTGCCTAAACAGAATGATGACAAATTTGCTTCATACTCACCGGATCTCATCCCAGTTCATCCTTAAGGGAAAATTTAGTATGTTAGATAGTGCTATTATTCACCACTGTCATCACAACACCAAACAAGGGAACGTCTTCTGAAATAATTAAATCAGTCCTGGAGGCTTGTTGTGAATTTACTTTGACAATTCATGTTGTTTTCATGTTTCTGTAGGTTTTATTACTGTACATGTTGGCTTTAGACTGTTGATGAGTCAGAAGGCGGCCTGAATAGGAACACACACACTTAGGGAATGATAACTGTTAGAGTGATATCTTTAATTTTACACTCTCTCAATTTCTTTTTATTTTTCTCTTTAGGTGCATTTACATACACTTGTAGCCGCATTTCAAAAACAGCAACAGGAAATCAACCAGTGCTGCGTAAACAGTGCCCAGAGGACATTAGATGTGATTCCCACCAATGAAATCGATCATAACTAAAGGCATTAATGCTTTGTCCAAATCAGATGCCTTTTTGATTCTGTAATTTTGTGCTAAAGTTACATAATGACGGAAAGTGGTGCCACAGCTGGTGGAAAATAAAGCTAAGAAGATGGGGGAGAGGAGGAAGTTGAAGCAGAATCATGTATGAATAGGACGCATCAGCCTTGCTTCCCATTTGACTCAGTGGCCAAGGATGGTATTGCAACAGAAAAAGCCCCTGAGGATCCAGCGTTTCCCCCATAGACCACAATTATAAGAGACGTCTATGAAACTGTTGAAAGGAACCCTCAAACTGCAAACAAGGTCAATAACTACTCCTTCTAATGAATCTTTTTTCATCCATTTCAATATTTGGAAAACTGAAAAAGATATTTTTATGTGCATGGAAAGAGACTAATGTGGAGTATGTCGCACAACACGGAGACAAACTGGGAAGAAAGAAAACTTCTTGGCAGCTGCGCTTGGTGAACATCAGTCAGTCATTTGGAGTCTGGTATCCGGTTCTAATCCATGCACAGAGCCTGATCTTATTTTGTATGAGAAAAATCAGTTTTCACCAGTCATCTCCACCCAAACTAAACAACAAATACTTCAGAATTTTTACTTTCTGGCACTTTCACTCTGTTTTTTATGTGTAAATTCAAAACTTACATAACAATATGGATGTGCATGGAGACTCTGTTTGAACAGCTTGCCACAGTTTGGAGCAGCCGCTGACATTTGCCACCTTCTATGTCCTCATAACCCACCGAGCAGACCCACAGCACTGCATTTTTGAGCATGTGCACAGTCTGCAAGCACTGACACACACATCCTGTGCATGTTTTCTGCTGTGTGTGTTTTACAGAGATGCCACTGTATGAAGTTTAAAGGCCCACGCATTTGTGCTTTGAGGTGCAGATAGTGATCTCTGCTTTACATGATCTATTTCCATGTCCTGTCTGACTGAACCACATACGCACACACACACACACACAGCCATGGGTGACAGCACATATAGCAGAGGGAATGATGTGAGGGTGAGGGAGAGAGATAGGGGACGACAGAGGATGTCTGAATGACACAATTCGTCTCATTCTTGATACAAAGCCATCTGCTACAAAGGAAGAGGAAGTGACACCACTAACACACACGATACACTGTTTCTCTGCTATCCAACAAACAGTGTTTATAACCACCACACATTAGAAAAGCAAAGAAAGTTGAAGGCCAGTCCCTGATCTTCAGACTCCAACAACACTTCTGTCTTTCAGTTTTAACCACCACACAAGTCCTTCTCTTCTCTTTCTGTTTGTCGTGGCTGCTGTAAGAGGCAACCTCAGCATTAGCACTATTCTTCCACTTCTCCTTTCTTTAATATAAACTTTGTCCTCTTCACTTAAATTACCCCATCCCCCCCTTGATTTCACACTTCACTCTGTCTTCAAACTGGAAATCATTTAAAATTATTCCTGACATAAAACTTTGGTGTCTCTAATCTTCCTTGTGTCCACGGAGTTTAATTAAGATGATTTTCCAAACAGCTCCTCTGGTGTGAAGCTAAAGCATGTGATGAAAACAGCCTTACAGAAATTTTACATGATAGCAAGCAGCAGGATCATTAAAGTGAGCTTTTTCATTTACACTCCCAGCCGAGGTCACACCTTTGATAGGGATGCTGGCTGGTTGCCGGGGCAACCAGCCAGGAAAAAAATAGCGAGAGTAATTCTGGCTAAACGGATACAGCTCAACTCTCTCCTCGTCTTACCTTCTGTTTCTCTGTGTGAGCCTCTCTCTCTCACTCTAATGACACAAGGAGCAGCCATTTTAAATCACAGTGATGATTATTATTATTATGAATGATGTCTTTTTCCACCATTTTCTCCTTGTTTTTGAGGCACTCTCACTTTCTGTCAGGAGCTTGTACCTTAAAAGACTGGTTAAACCAACATTATCCTCATTTAAATAAATATTATGATGAAATTTCTCTGAAACCACAAATCTAAATTCTCAATATGTTTTCACATATCGTTTCATCAAAACATAACTTTACTCAATTTTAGGGAACTTACTTGAAGTGCTTTTACATTTATTACTAGATTTCCTACCTGCTCTAAAACATTTTGTCAGTTGTCTGGGTGCCATAACTGGCCTTTTTTTGCACCTTTATAGTTTATTAGAAGTGTTTTCAAACATCGTGGTCTACTTTTACAAGACAAAAGACTGTCACGACCATGATGGCTGGTTTTGCCTATGTGTGTCCAGTTTGTTTGCTCATCTCCATCAAAGTGTAACGCACAGCCACTTGCATCCATCCAAACGGGACTAGGAAGCTAACAAAAACATGCTGGGAAAACATTTCAATGAGGAATTATAAAAGGAATCATAAATATATATTCTTATATTCTTTAGCAGTGCAAGCTGGCAGGCATCAAACATTACATGCACTGTGGATAACTGATGAGAGAAGCTCAGACTCGTTGGTAAACTAGTTTGACCTTCTGACCCCATTTATGCATCTTCATTTGCTGTCAAACGTTAACTTTGCCCACATGTGTTATGACTGTCTGTTGCATATGACTGCAAGCTGTAACCACATACGGCACATACACACATGCAGTGTTGCAGGGCCTACCTGGTGCAACTGTTTGTCCCCTGGTCCAGTTTAGCAGGTCCACAGCTGGTCACAGCCCCTGAGGCAAAGAGAGAGAGAGAGAGAGAATGATAAAAGATGCTGCCTTTATATAACCCATAGGTTGTAAACACATGTGCATGCAACACCAGCCCCCTGGACTGGAGTCCTGCTGCGTCTTGGCATGTTACAAAATACAACACACCACCAGTATATTTACAGCTAAGGACATCATGGTCTCATTATAATTTTTAGTAACCTTTTCAAGACAAAATAAAGATTTGTCTTCTGACTCATGGCCATACAAGCTTTAAATAATGTAGTGCAAAGAAACACACCGAAATCGTGGGAATCCATGACAACATTAGGTTCCCATGACCAAAAGCATGTGGACACTGCATGCACTTGGTTTGGGGCTGTTTATTCCTTAGTTCAAATTAAGAGAACAAATTAAAGCAAAAGTTCAATGTGAATGAAGGAAATATGAGCATTTGCTCTCTAGCAGAGTTAGATGAGAAGATCAGTCCCACTCTCATCTCTGTTCAGTAAACATGAGGCTACAGCCAGCAGTCAAGTAGCTTAGCTTAGCACAAGGGCGTACCTAGCTTGGCTGTCTGAAGCTAACAGAATCTGCCAAGCAGCACCTCTAAATCTTGCTAATTAAAAGCCTCATCCCAGTTTAATTAGTCCAAACACCAATGTGCTGAACTACTTCCACAACCAGTAAATTCCTGGAGCCTTCTGCCTACTGCTCCCAGTCAAAGACAAACTGCCACATAATCCTCTGTAAACCAACAGCGCATAGTCGTAGGAGATCTTCCAGAATGAAAAAGCGTGTTTCTCGGTTGCAAGTAATATTTTAGAAGAACTGCTCTTCCAACTTTGTGTCAATAGTTTGTGTTTGTTCCTTTCCTGTTTCTGCACGACAGCGTCGCTGTGCACAGGCAGCTCCATAAACAAATGGTTCTCCCAGTTTGGTGTGGATGAGCTTGATTGACCTGCACAGACCCCTGACCTCAACCCCATCCATCAATTCTAGGACAAACTGGAAAACTAACTGTGAAATAGACCCCATCACCTGCATCGGTGCTGGACCTCGCTAATGCTCTTATGTCTGCATGGGAGCAAATCCCTGCAGCTGGTTCAACATCTGGAGAAACCAGAAGAGTGGAGGCCAGCCCTGCAGCAAATGAATGCTCATGGTTTAGAAATAACTTATTCAACAATAACACATGAATGTAATGTTCCCATGTCCACAAAAATGTGAGCACAGATTGTGAACATGTTTATATACTGACTATGTCAATCTATAAATAGGTTATCTATGTAGTATTTCAATTTAAAAAGCAAATGTGTTGTTTGTAAAAATCTCTATGTCAATAGGAGCAAGATACTGAACCTGTATTTTTTATAAACAAACATCTCTAAAAACACTTTTCCCCAAGGAGTCGGTTGTTCTGTAGAGGATTAGGAGCATTTCACATTGACATTTCAAATCCTTCAATGAATCCAACAATAACCAAACATATAAAAAAAAGACAGTTTCAGATCCCTTGTGTCATCAGTTTGTCATCTTGGTTTTCGGTCTTCTTTTGTCAGTTTTTTCTTTAGGGAGTTGTTTTTTTTGTTTGTTTTTTTTTTAAGTTTTTTGGGCTTTCTGTTGTCTCTCACCCACCAGGGTTGGATTCCTTTACATCCTGTGATATTTTTGAAGTATTTTTATCTTTTGTATGGTTATGCAAATAACTCAAACTAAACCCCACAGCAGTAACTGTCTCTGTGTTTTCATGGTACCACCAGCAAGAGTCGGAAAGTTCAATATAAGCAGTTTCCACCAGAGGAACCTTCCTCGGGCAGCAGGAACCTTTTCAGGAACCTCTACCTGTGTTTCCACTAGAGGATCCAGGGTCTAAATTTGGTTCTGGGATGTAGTTCTACCCCTGAAAAATCTACCTGGTCAGGGGGTAGTACTTTCTGGAAACCTAAGAACTATCAGGGCGAGGCCTGCAGTGTTGCTGATTGGTTAAATACAGGGCTCTACGGTGTAAACATTTAATTCACCTGTACAAGTAAAAATCAGACTGTGCCAATGTGAAGAATGATTTGGAAGCACTGATGCAACTGAGTCCAGGTTGTATCAGTTCGTAAGAAGCAGGTTGTCAGTAGGCCTGAACACAGAGACCAGTGAGTGAGACCAGGGGAAAATATGGTTCTGGTGTTTGTGTAGAATCTTCTCCTGGTGTTTGACCTGAGGGCGGAGCTCAGCTCCTCCACACACGGAGCTGAGCAGGCTAAGCCCACGGAGGGAAGTGTGACACTAGCTGAAGTGAAACATTACTCTGAGTTAACAATCCCCATGCTCGTTACTGTACGTGGAATAAAACCTCAGAAAGTAAAAAACACACCTGTTAAATGAGGATAAACTTGCCGAAAAGTGATCATTTCAGCTCTGCCTGCAGTCTGTCCTCCACCATGTGTTATCCAGAGCCAGCGTTTAAAATGGAGCATCGTTACAAATCTGCTGCAAACCACTGTGCTTTTATATCAGTGGACTAATTAGTTTAATCGTCCCCGGGCTTCATCCCTGCTGTGAAAACGCAAATCACAATGCACTTAAGAGGACTTTTCCCCCTAGGGATGGTTCTTGAACTTGGATTTCCAGGGAATAAAAAATACTGGAGACTTTCTGGTGGACATGCAACTATTTAGATGCATCAGTAAGGTTTCTGGTTTTATACAGATTTAAAAAAAAAAAAGATTCATTTAAGCAGCAAATCAGGTCCTCTTGCAGTGAGGACAGCTATGGAAAAATATCTCTAACAATAGTGCAGTAATAAATTAGCAAAAAGCTACTCAAAGTAAACTAAATATAAAAAAGAACACTGCACAATTCCAACATCTTTTATAGATTAAAATTGAATAGTTATGTATACTCACTTATTTAATTAATAAAATGCCATAGATAGTTTTTAGATTTTTACAGTTACTGTAAAGAAATAAATGCCATGTCATGAGATGTTTATCTCATTCTAGGAATTATTTTATAATGAGTTATTGTAATTTACCATTTCGGATCTATAGTAGCTGCTTTTAATAAGCTGCCTCATGTACATCATTCAGATTATCTACATTTCCCAAAATGCCTTTGGACATCCCCCTGAGAAAATGCTACCAGCAAGTTTTTACATGCACGTAAAGGGTATGAGTGAAGCACAATAGTGAGAGTTCACACTTTACTCAAAATTCAACTACCACGTTTGCGGCTGTAGTGTATTCTGGTTCTGGTTTCATTTCTGTGGGTGCAGAGATTGATGTCTTGCTGAATGACTGTTGAGCAACGGTGTAAAATAGCGGCTGCAAATTCTGAGTGACTGACATCAAAAGGTGAGAGTTACTGATGTTTTGGGTCACTGAAACATTTTTAAGCACACTCTACTGAAGCTGGTGGAAATACGGTCATGTCAGCTTCATTTGAATAGTTATCCAACGATGAATAAGAAAAGCAAAACCAAACAATGAAGCTGTGAAATGTAGCTGTATTTGATAACTTTTTATAAAGTCTTAGTCCAGTGGCCTAGCAAATCAAAAAACCCTCATCTGTTTAGATTTACCTCTGAAGAACAGAAGTGATAAACAACTAACAATGAACTACACCACCAAAGATTGATATTCAAAGAACCAAAGGTACTTTAGTATTTTAGGCTGCTTTTTGCCATTAAAAAGAGGTTATAGTTGTGTTAGCCTCTGAGCACATCCATCCATTATCTACACTGCTTATTCATGAAGAGAGTCGTGGGGGAGCTGGTGCCAAGTGTTCTTCCACAATGCTTACTGTATTTTTATGTGACTTTATTGTCAGTGTTAATCAGAAAGTTCGTACAGCTGCTGCTTCATAGGTAAGGTTTCCAATGAACTAATCTGGCTATCGCTCTCTAAAAGTTTGTCTTCACAGCAGTATAAGGGCGTGTGCACTGTTGTTAGGTCAATGGATTGGTTTTAAATACTGCAGAAATGAATGGTCGAAGAAGAAAGAGACAGAATGAGCTGGTCAGATGAAGAGCTGCAGGCAACAGGCTCAACACATCATCAAAGAAAACAGCACTTTTATGGTGTTATTGAAATGGTATAATTCAAGTGGTTACAGCTGGGCTCAGTACAAGAATCACCACCATATGGAAAAACACTGAGTAGAGTATTCCTGTGGTTTGGTGACAGTAGGAGTTAGCCTGATTTATTATCTTTTCACAGTATATTGGCAGTTTACAGTAGCAGGAAAAGTGAATAATGGTTGTTTCAGTTGGGATTTTCTGATTACAAAACACTGATTTAACTCTGCTGTCTGATGCATAAATGCATGAAGTGAGAATAATTACAAGCTGTTGAGAAAGTAGGCCAGTTCCTCTTTTTCTCCATCATTTCCTAGTCCATTTCAACAGTGACACAAACACACACAGCCCACCTGGTTACATTATCAGCCATGTTCCACACACACACACACACACACACACACACACACTTCCTAGCAGGCAAAATAAGGGAGCACAATCATATTTCTCCTCTCGTTAAAGAGCTGCCGTGTGGCTGTGGAGCAACAGACTTGTCACTTGATCGGTGATTTGCTCTGGGATGAAAAATGCCCTCAAGCTGGCTGCAGGGACTCGGAGAGGGAGGTTTCCTTTTGTTCAGCTGAGGACAACAAGCTGAGATCACACATACCCCACTGAGCAAAACGGCTTCAAATGAAGAGCGTGTCAGCAGCTGACAAAGAAGACACACTCCTCTTCGAGTACAGTTCGGGCACATCTCATCCTTTCTCCTCTCCTCCTTCCAATCTCTCCTTGTCATCTTCTTTTCCTGCTCCTTCATCATCCTCTGTTATCATCTGTTTCCTCTCATTTCTTCCCCTCTTTTCTGAACATTTCTTTTCCTCTCCTCTGTATTCCACTTCATCTTCTCTCCTCACTTCTATTCTCATCTCTTGTTTCATCTCCTTTCGTTCTTGTATTGTTTTTTCACTTCCGCTTCTCTCGTGTCCTTTCTTGTTGTTTCCTTTCTCTCTTT